TTTGGTTTAAGGCAGAATCAAGGAAGTCAAAGGCTCCATTTGTCACAAAGAAGAAAAAACAAATAAAAGAAATTCATTAAAAACCTCTGTTTGTACATTCCTACTGTTGCACATCTAATTATCAAGGACATACGCCGTTTACTTCTATAACAGCAGCCTTTACTTGAATAAAATATACTGAACAGCAAAGGCAAACATTTCAACGGAAACTGATTTAATGACGTTCACAGAGAAAAGAGTCAACATGTTTTATAACACTCCTTCTTTGGACTTTAACCTCACAGTTGCACCACAGAATGATACTTTGCTACATTTGTCTTGCTTCAGTACAATTTTAATACTTTGAATATGATAACAGCTTAAAGAAGGGCAAGGGATTAATGCACTATATTTAAAGTTTATAATTTAATTTTTCTCTAAGAGGTTTTCGAGAATTAAAGCATTCAAAGGAAAACTGCATGCAAAAAAATGAATTTTTAGAACAAAAAGGGACAGATGTGTGCTATGGTTCAGAACCAACTAATCTGGACATATGGTCAAACAACAAAATGTGCAACAAGGCTTAACACCTTAAAGTGAATACTACAAGGGAGCACTATTCTGCATACCTTTTCAGTCAGCATTTACCTTCAGTAGAAACACACCTGTGGAGCACCTTCTAGCATACACTGATGCTGTTTCAATTTACAGCAGTCAGGTGCGTGGTGTAGCCAACTGTAACATGATCCACATTTGTATGGAAAGAAAAGGATAACGATCAAATCAGTCTCGCCGATCTATCATCTGCTACGGGACAGCTTGGATAACTAAGCCCTTCCTGGTTGTGCATGGGAGCCTCACAGATTACCAAGCACAAAGGAGGTCTTGTAAGGCGCTCAGATAGTCAAAGTATACCCCCCATTTAATTAGAGATGGAGAATCTGCTGAGTCATGCAGAAAACTGATGACAGGTGGACTAGGATTTCATTCTCAGTATGGCACTACTCAGAACATAGTTCCTTTCTTGATAGGCTTTTATATTTAGAATATTTAGAAGCAAGAAGCTCATTTTGGATAAATGAGTATCAAAACCCAATGTCACAATGTCAGTTATAAGCTTTGAACCAGGTGGTGACTTTAGTTTCAGAGGTCAAATATCCTCTGTAGACATGGAGTACAAAGGCAAAGATGGTGCACTGGCCCTAAACAACAGTTGCATAACACAGTTAATGATTTTCCATTATAGGTGGCACTACTCCTCTTATCAAATACATGTGAGAAACTTCATTTGAATGTGCACAGGAACAGAAACTAGGCTTTAAGGACTAGAAAATAGAGAAAGCTTAAGCTTACATTTGAAACTGTTAGACAGACTTTACAGCTAACATAATATAAACATCATTTTCATTAACTTTTTTTTTTTTACAGATAATGAGAAGGCTGTTGACTGTTTTAGATTTATATATATATATATATATATATACACATATATGCACTTGTAGAAAAACCATAGTGAGGACCATTTTCTCGAATTTCACAATTACAGTGAATAAACAATTACAGTGGTTTATTCTACATTTCTGCATTTTCTATTTTTAATCAAATTCTGCCTTTAAATCATATGATTTTTTTCTGCATTAAAACAGTTGTAATCTTTTTAATCTTTACCATACATCTGTCAAAATCTTTGAGACCAAATTTGAGTAGCAACACATGGACAGGGTAATCCATCTCATTAAGTTTTTAATGCACCATGACCCACTCACAAAGATATAACATAATCATTTGAAATTGAAAAAGATATACACTGTAGAAGGGAGAAAGAGGTTAATAATAAGAAAAATAATAACTGTTTTTGTCTCAACTGTCGTGATTTTTTTGTTTGTTAGGAACTTAAGTACAGACATGAGCCACTTACTGCAAGGTCATAATTAATTGGAAACTTTAAAGAATTATACAAAGACAAACTTACAGAGTTAAGAGAAAAATAGACATCTATAGTGCAAACAGACTGAATACTAGGAAGATAATATACTTGGACAATGGGATAGACATCCACTAGCTTTTATGGTCACACCTGGAACTAAGAATCGAAAAACGATCAGAACTGGTTCTAACCTTTCAGTTCTTTCAATAATCATTTAAAACTGAATATAAAAATTTGATTTCAGAGGCAATCAGTGGCAGTTTCTATTACACAATTCAACAATAATAAAGGAATGTCATTTTCTAAATTCTCCAGCCCTATTTAGTTGAGGAACAGGTGTTTGCTGCAACTGTATAAGAAGCTTATAGAGAAGCTAAGGGAAGTTTTGCCCAACAATGCAGCAAGGTGACATACAGAGCTGACAAAATAACACAAATAGTCTGGTGGATCATGACATCACCATCCTATAAAGAATCCATTAAGGTTTGAGGGTCACTGGAGTGAAACTCTGATTCAAACACAACACTGATGCCTTTGAAGCTTAAATGCAACCCTGAATGCTCTAGAGATGATTAAGAAATGTCAAAATCTCTTTTATGCCACAATGTTTATTATCGCTGGAAAATCAGTCTTTGTCCCTCTTGCAATGCTAATAACCCAGATACATTGACAGCAGATTTTGTAGTCTTTTTTTCTTTATAGCACCTTGTAACAACATTATTTTTCATAAAATCCTGCAATGAAAAGCAGAACTTCCTTACCAATCTGTGTTTTACCATCATTGTACACTTTAGTAGTGAAACAAACAACCCACACACAAACAAACTCTGGGTCTCTAACTGCCAGATGTGCATGCAGCGGGCCGTAAGCAATGGGTCAAACTGCATGAGTACACAAACAGGAATTGCAAAATAATAAACTACTCCTGAGTCTTCTAGTAATAGGCAACAGTTTACTTTTAAATTATATTGCCATGATGAGATTGAAGGGCTTGGTAAGCTCATCATTCAGAAACAGTTAAGACCTCTGAACATTTTATCTGATAACTTGGATATTTATCGATACCTAGAGATGCCATTAGAAATGCATTCAACATCAGGAAATCAGATTCAAGCTCTTGTTCCCAAAAAACACAAACAAGGGGGTTTATGTCTGAAAAAGTTTCCAAAGTACAGAGATCTGACTTGAATCACAAATCACTCTAGTAAATTGCTTGGACACAATTATTGCTCTAATAGTGTAGTTAGTGGTCTAATTTATATCCCTTTAAGTCCCATCCCCTGTCCCATCCCCTGTGACAACAAATAAGGACAAGATGGCTGTCAGAGCAGCATAATGTCAAACCTTATTCACTCCAGGCTGAAGTGGAGTGAGAAGCAACAGCAGTAAAGAGTCTCTGCTTCACTCACATTATAAACAGCATTAATACTGTGCTAGTTACTTACAATGCGAAAAAGAAAATAAAAAGTTGCTTGGTATTTTTAGTTGTTATATTTGACAGCATGAGATTCACTGCAGACTCAAGCAACTTTGTATGAGATACATTATGAGATACAGCTCAATTAGATGCAATGCAATTAATTAAGATGAAGCAAGAGCATGTTGATGATGATTATGATGATGATGTTAACAATAATAAATAGACTAAAACTTAGGGATGCACTCCAATATTGACTAATTTGCAGAATAAGGTAATGAATAAATTACACCAATCCAATAATTCCATTCAGCCATTTTTTTTAGTAGCCTATCATACACAGCATCGCAGTCACAGAAATTTACAGACAGTTTCAGGCAGCTGCTACATGTTGCATTTCAACATTGTTTGCAGTGCATCTTACATTAAACTGTAGTTTGTTCATTTTTACTTAAAATGTAGACTTTATTTGCTAATAATTCATATTATGTACAATAATATGTGGGATAATTTTCAGGTTAGATTAAGGGTTAGTTTTAGGGTTAGGGCATAGAAATGGTTACAAATCACTTAAAATCAATGGAAGTCAATGGAAATCAACACATGGTTCTCACTACATATAGCAGAACAAACGTGTGTGTAGGTGTGATTTTGTTTTACCTACAATTTGGAGCAAGTATTTTGTAAAATATATTGCATGCAGGGAATTACAGGTTATACTGGTCCCTATATGGTAAAGTCCTGTTCTTTGAGTTGGGGTTACAGTAGGTTTAGGACTAAGGTGTAAATTCAGTTTAGGTTAGGTTAGGCTTAGTGTAAGGATCTGGGTTAGGCCACATAAAATTAATGCAAGTCAATTAAATGTCCCTATATGTCATGAAAACAAAGCTGTGTGGATTGGCATCATTCATCCGATAACATCCGATCCAGCTAATCTGTGAATATTGGAGACTTTATAAACGGATAACTGCATCTCTAGAGCTACAGCATGGTTGTCAAACATAGGGTTAGCATATCCGTGTCAGACAGTTACGCTGATAAATGTCTGCATTCACTCTAACAGTGATAATTAGAGCCAGAGAATGAATTATTACAAATCACTGAATGCTGCAAGGATGTAAGTGGAATACAGTTTTTGTCACAACTTTTTACACCCTTGAACACAACTGAAAAGGTTAAAAAGGTACAATGCATTCTTAAAATACTTTTTTTATTTTTATTTTCAGGCTAGTTTTCCTTTATCAAACCTACACATCTATACGGAAGAGGATTAGGGCCACTGAAAAGAAGTTAACTGATTTTTAAATTCTATGTAAATTTAATATGGGAAAAAGTCAAAATTCTGACTTTTTTTCTCTGAATTCTTACTTTAATCTCAGAATACTGACTTTAATCTCAGAATACTGACTTTAATCTCAGAATCCTGACTTTTTCCCCATATTAAACTGAAACAAAATTTTAAAATCAGTTAACTTTTTTTTTCCAGTGGCCCTAATCCTCTTCCGTATGTTTACCTATACTTAAAGCAAAACTTCTAAAATTCATTTTGGCATTTCGTTTTAGTTTGCTATTTAAAGATTGTGGTCCCAAACAAAACTTTGGAGACCCAGCAGGCTCAAACCGTGGCAGAGGTGCCTACGTATGCGCACTTGCAAGTGATTTAACGTGGTCACCTACCTTGTCGAACAGTTTTAAACCTGACAGGTCCCTTGCAGCAGTTGATCACAGTGTAGATGTCATAAAGGGGTAATCCAGACACCGACAGACCCTCCACGTCTAGCAGTAGTTCTCCCTTGGACAGCTTTCCGTCCTGATAAACCACAGCATCTTCCCTGATATCTCCAATGTATGTAAACTCTCCATTCTCCGCTCCACCGTGCAGCTCCACGTTCAACTCCCCTCTCGTGTCCCGGATAATCGTGCACTCATTTACTTTTGTGATCCAGTGGTTCTTCTTCTGAATGACTTTTGCCATGCTGCCGAATCTCCAAAGAAAATCCCAAAATTCCAAGGATTTGAGAAAGAATGAGCTGCTTCATAGCACTGATTATCCCTCACAAAAGAACTACTTGTCATCTGGGTTCAACTTGCAACATCTTTACTCTTTAGCCAAAGCATGCTGTTTCCTTCACGCACACATACAATGGACATCAAAATCCAGACTTCTATATATTCTGTTGCTTCCGCACCTTTAACAGCAGCACTCTCTCTTATTCCTCATAATTGGGTGTAATCCCTCCCCGAATGATTATTTTTGGAATAATATAAGAGTTCCGCCTGTTTTCTTTAAGTAAACCAATGTTCTCCGATTGCCCTTGTTTTTATACCTTTTTATAGGGGAAAAATGAAAGCAGTATCTTTAAACTTCGATGAAAGAAGGCGTCTCCTTTAAACAGGTAAAGCTTCAAATTCCTTCTTCACCGTTTGGGATGGGGAGACGGAGGAGGAGGGCATAAACGTCAAGTCAAAGAGTCAAAGAAGAAAAATTCAAGCCAACCCCAAACCTGGCGGATCTTTAAATTCCTCTCCGCCCCAGATAGCGGTGATCCTTGCGTCTGATCATCTGGTATCTACAGCTGGCAGCTTGTTGTCCTTTTCCAAGGCATGGAAACGCGCATTAGGAGCGCCTCGATCATTAGGAGCGCCTCTGTGTGCGCGCTTACAGCTGCTGCTTGGAGGAGGTTGTTAAAGGTGGAAACTCCAACCCGCCCATTTAGTCTACTATTGTTATGAAGGAAGTCATAAACAATAATTACTTTTTATCCAGGAAAGAGCTTCAGATTATTTTCCAGAGGAACTTTGGATGGAATTCTATCAAAATGTTTCTAAATGTTAAATGTTGGGTTTATAAAGTTTATAAAATAATAAAAAAAAAAATAAAGTGGATATAGATATACACCTCCCTTAAATACATTGGATTATCTCTTAACATAGTCCCACTGGTTGCAAGAGTGCAGATCTTTAAAATCAGTAATACCATCTATAAAAAAGAATCACTGGGTCACTGTAATAAATACCAGGTTTTGATCCGTATCTAATGTAACTGAAGTATCCAATCTTCCTAGCTCTAACTAAAGGGTCTATAATGTAAGCAAGAACTATCGTTATTTTACAGAAAGAAAATCAATCAATCAATTAGCTAAAAAAAAATAAAAAATAAACAAAATGACAAATGACCAATGACAGGTATCTTTGTATAACTCACATTCTTGTCATTCCTTGTTTGTTTACAATTGACATCATAATTATTTTTAAATTGCAAATTGTATTGCACTATATATTGAAAGTGTACATGTAAGAAAGATGTTAATTCAAATGATAACATTTTTATCAGTGGCATCATCACCTGGAAAAAAATAAATCTGTCAATAACTTCTGCTAGCAAAGATCTTTTTTTGTCACTCTATGGCTGTTCATTTAAATGAATTAAACCCTTTTTATAAATGAAAAATGTATGTGATATATATTGATAGATATATTTACTCTACATTTATTGTGACTGCTGAATTATAATCAATCAATAATGTTGGTTGACTTTAGATGAAGTAAAAAAAAATCCCCCAATGCATAGGTTTGATCATTTGACCTACAGTATGCAGCTCACATATTGGAACTTCACTAAAACAGTACTGTATATTCAAATTAAAATGGAAGCATATGATGCATGAGACTGTGTCCTATGTGCAGTGTTGCAACAGCAATTTAGAGAGCAAACTGGAAACTGAGTTATGGCTCATTCAGAAATAAAGAGGTTTAGAACAGCCCAAATTAAGGTGGCAGAAAAATATTAATAATTGGTGTTTGTCATTTAACATAGTTTAAAATAGCTGATGTTCTGTGTAAATTGGTAAGCATGTCTCCTAAAGATACAAAGCCTTGAATTGGAGTTCACATTTTAAAGGTCAATTAGGTTTCTTTTCTAACCAGTCCAATTTAATTGTGGACAAAGAATTCCTCGCCACTGGCAAGTAATATATACAATTTAATTATCCACACAGGGTGCAAATAACAGATCTGTGGGGTAGTAAGACAGTGAGAATATGTGCGAGAAACACATGCTACTCCAAAAAAAACAGCAGGCTCTGTGTGCTTCCTGTCTGTTTAGATAAAGTATAGTACATGGCTCTCTAGCACTGTGAGGCCAGTGGCCTTGATAACGCCACATAATATAAACCTTTCCATCTCATTTAACCTCAGTGTTTTAAAGCTTTCATTGTAACCCTATCATGATTAACTTCCTGCTACTCTTATAGAAACCATTTATTTTAGAGTGAAAAGGTTTAATTTGCATTCTATAAAATGTTTGCATTATATTAGGGTTATTTTATCTCCCTATACATGTCTAGACTTATTCAGTTAGCATGCCACTCTCTTATTCACTCTGTGCTGCAAAGTGGGCTTTGTTGCCTGTCACAGGACATTTTCGTTGGGCAAAAGTAATGGCTGCAGGGAAGCGAATGTCACAAATGCAGGACACTGATGTAGGCTATCCTGACCGATGAGATGCAGACTGTTTCTAAGACAGAAGCCTGCAAACAAATGCAAAAAATGTAATGTATATAAAAAAAAAACGGGCTTTATCAAAGTACAGTGTTATGAAATCTGTGATCTGTTCATTGTTTCTTTTTGACAACCTGATTATTGTGGCTTAACCATTTATGTTATTCTACATTGACTCACACAGGATATCTGAAACTGGAATAAGTTTTAAATTATGTTAGCAGCAAAAAGTAATAACAATATTTCAAGAAACATCACATGGGACAAGCAACACAAAATGTTATAAGTTTAGATAGTGATTAAAATATATCCAAATTTTTTATTTTTTCATTGTAATATAATCGAGAACATTAAAGCTCTCTCTTGTGGTGCATACATAGAATGTCTTTTGATTAATCACATTTATGCTGTTATAAGCAGATCCAAGAACCAGATTTTCAGACACAGTATTGTAGTAAACTTTCAGCAGGTGGGTTATGGCTGAACAGACTGACGACTGGCTTTGAGCTGGCTGGATGAAGGTTAAACAAACTGGAAATGGACAGAAACAATCCAGGACGTGAGAAAACTTTATTTTCTCCATATATGGATCAGGCCTTTTTCCTATGATTTTTTGGCCTTTGCTGTAAATGCTGTGCAGCTGAAAAGATTCTCACCTGTAAAAAAAATTTTTTTGGGGGGGGGGCATTGGTTAAGAAGCATAACCATAGCAAGTTGGTATTTTACACCTGAGAGCAGCTCATTAACATATCAAAGGCTAAAATAATATACTTTCACAAGTACCAGCTAAACTGAAAGGGGGCACCAATGATGCAGAGCATCATCATCTAATGTTTATGTTATAATGAGGAAGTAAATGAGTTTAAAAAGTCAATTTTCACGGCTATTACTCTTATTTAATTTAGAGTATCGGTCTAATTTGAGTGTAATTTTGACCACTTTTAGCAGAGTCAGTGGCTGAACTGAACACATTCTTCAACAGATTCAGTTAAGGAACAAGCTCAGCATCATCTTTTCTCGCCCACAATCAAATTCGACAAATTATGTTGAAACTACCATCTGATTCTGAAGGTGAACAGAACAGGGAAGATAATTGTAGATTTTAGAAAAAACAGGAACAAGTACAATTCTTTGAACATTATAGAAGATTGGAGGTGGTGGAGGAGGTGGTGAAGCTATCAGAATAGAAAGGGAAGACTGTACTTCTTAAGGAAGTTAAGGCCTTTCAGCTTTTGCAGATGTATATCTTCTATAAGGCTATTGTTGAGAGTGTGATCTCCTCTTCCATTATCTGCTGGGGTAATGGCATCAGAATTCCTAAAAGAAGCTCAACAAACTTTGCTGTGAATTAGTTCAGTCAATTTTAACTAGGTCCACTCAGAGTTAAACATGTGGGCAACAAGCATGAGAAGCCACTATCAGTGGAGCACCGTTTCGATGATCAATGACAACAGTAAGTGCCTATATCACCTAACTGCAACTAGAGATTTTAATGCAGAAATGCAAAAAAAATAAAAGGAGAATGTGTTTAAAGACAGATAAACAGTGCTACAGCTACAAAGGAGAGGAAGATGGCTAAGGAGAAGATTTTTGCTCCAGTAAATGCGTAGGTTTATATGACGTGGGCTATGGCAGGCCATTTTTACATTTATTAAAAGCATTCATTTTTGTTATTCCATTTGTCACTAAAATAAGATTCTTCCTATTCAACCCACTCCTAAACCTAATGTCATTATTAAATCCACAAGAGATTCACCTCTGTCTCCCTGCCTCTGCTTTTGGGTCAACTAACCATAACCAAATCATGAGTTTACAGAAAACAGAGGCAGGTTATCCAAAAATCCAAATACGAAAACAGAGTCCAAACAAACATGAAACCAAGAGTCCAAAAATCAAAACTAGTCAAAACGTACCAGAAACCATGGAGACATCAGGGAAATCACTATCATAAGGAGGAAGGCTCAGAGAGAAGGAGTTGGAGCATGTTTGACGAGGACCCAGCAAAGAGGAACAGAAGAGAGAGGGCTTTTAAAGGAGACTGAGACAAAGAGGGGGCTAATGAGGAAACTGGGAACAGGTGTGCACAGAACAAGAGAGGGAAAGAGCTAGGGAAAAAGGAGAACATAGGAGGGCAGCAGAGGGCAACAAATAGAAACCTGAAAGACTGGAAATAACAACAAAATAATAATTAAACTACTAGGACTATAAAACATGGAGAAAAGATAACTAAACACTCAAAAGAAAACATAACAGAACCCAGAGTAGGACAGTAACTGGAAAAAACCAAAGAACAAAGCAAAATAAAAATAAAACCACTAACACTAGAAAACAAGGAGTAAAGCAAGACTGACCACTAAAAAGAAAATATAACAGAACAAAGACTAAGACAGTAACTGAGAAAAAACCAAAGAACTAAGAATTAACCAACTAAAACTAGAAAACAAGGAGCAAAGCAGAACTGAACTCAAAAGAAAAACATAACAGAAACAGAAACCTGACACCTAACTGTAATGATATATTTTCTTAATGACTTTTTTGGAGCAGAAAAATAATTTTAGAAAGCAAAAAAATATATACATATACCAGCAAGAATTAAGTTTTATATATCTAGAAATGTTTTCACATTTCAAGTGACCGTTCTGACATTTATCAGCTTGACTGAATATGTGACTAAGATATCTGAAAAACATTTTTTCATAGTTAAAATAATACAAATCCTCACCAGTAATATTAGGAATATGGAGATCTGAAATAAATTTCTAGACTGCAGAATGTTTATTCTAGATGTGGAGAATGTGATTTTTTTTTTTTAAATGGTCATTTAGACAAAGAATTTTTTTTTCTCAGATATCAGGAATACATCCTCAGTAAAACTAATACATATCAAAACAGCCTGCGATAGATGTTGTTACGGTGAAAATATTAGAGGATTATTTCAATCTGAAAAACTCACATGAAGAGAAACAAACAATTAGAAGAAATTTATTGATACAGTTACTTTGACTTTGGCGCTTAGACCTCGGCAGGAAACATAGCGCTGAATTTTGATAGATATGCATGAACGGGAGCAAAGAATAGGGCTGCCCCCCCCCCAGGCCTGAAACTGGTTG